CTCGGCCACAGACGCGCCAAGTACGCATACGAACGCCGCAAGTAACTCAGTGCTGAGTACACAAAAGAAGCCGCCCATTGCTTCAAATGTTGATTTGAATAATACAATTTTGAATACCAACTATTTCAAGAAACCGCCCCCACAACCTGGTGGCACGCAGGCCAGCTCGCCTTTCACTTTTTTTGGTTATCCCATACCGGCGCTTAGCTTGGGCCGCTTTTTTGGCACAGGACAGCGTGGACGCAAGGACCGTGGTGAAAAAACTAGTACTACTCCAATTCGACAAACAACTGCCAGTTCCACTGAAAGCGTCTTAGCGACACTGCCAGCCACACATCGAATGCACACGCCGCACAGCAAAGTGCGCATGTACCAACCGAATAGCGCTGAGTTCGAGAAGTATTTGAATCAGCCAGATTCCCAATATCACGATGTGTCCGCGCGAAATCGACAAACTACCACAATAGCAGCCAGCGCTGACTCCAGCTCAGATGAGGCGACCAGCAGCGAAGCGCCGAGTAGCGTCTTCAAAACCGCCTTTCGTGAGCCCACAAGCGTTGAGCGTGGCGGCTTTCGGCCGATAGTGCCAGAGCACGTGGGGGGCTTCATGCCTGTGCATGATCCCTCAAAGCGTCGAGGCGTAGTGGAACCCATACCCACGCCAACAAAATACACAATGAAGCAAACGGAACGCAACTATGTGCCGATGGTGCCGGTACATGCGTCGGAGGGTGAACGCAGGCAACCAAGCAGACTGTCGAACTTAAGGGCGACAGTTGCACCTGTGCCGACTACTGCGCTGACAGCAGAAAATTCTGCCAGTGAGGAGTTCGAGACGCAAACTTATTACGTAACCGAAAACTCAGTGGAATTGACCACACCGGCGCGCCGAATAACGCCACCATATGCGGTGACAACTGCGCCAACAGCCACAACCGTTCGACAACAGACACTGAGGACTACAACACCTAGTGGTGGCCGCGATTTGTCTGAACCAACTACCACACCAAGCACTTTTTACACTACAACAACACCCATGACACCCACAGTAACGCAAGCGCCTACTTACGGTGGTTTAGGTGGGAGTGATGCATTCAACACCGCTGAATTCTACGATGACCTGGAAGCACAATCCGTGGGCATGTTGAAACCACCACCACTCATCCAAACGACCACAGCGGAGACTATACTGTTGATACCACCGCCGGAGGAGCATGTCGAGCAGATCAAACGTCAATCTTGGGTAGCAAAGGCAGCGACAACAACTACAACAACGGCTGATAGCCTTACAAACGACGATCAGCCAACTACACCCGCTACTAATCGTCTGGTAAATGTATCGCCACGTCAACCGCGCCCGTCTGCTGGCCGTTCAATAATCACCAAAGTGCACACGCCACAAACATTAAATCAATATCTTCCCACTGCCGAGGAATATCATCGCACAACGCCCCACAATGATCAGGCGTATGTGGGTGCCAGCGCAGCAGGCGATGAATTAGCGCTACAACAACAACTGCTAGCGAATGCACAGAAACGTGACTACAATGCGCTCGAGGCATTGGATGCCGAGTCGGTCGATACAGCGGCGACAGAATATCAGCAAGTGGAGCATGCAGATCGCAAAGAAGGCATGGATTGGTATTATGAGAGTTTTAAGAAGCCACGTCCGGTGGCAGCCGCCGGCAGCAGTTTGCGTAGCAGCGCCGACTTTGTGCGCAATGCAGGAGCGGCGCGGGTGAGAGCGCGACGTCACGCGAGATATGGTGAAGTGGCAGGCAGTTCAATGGTAGTTTTATGTTTACTTGCAATATTTTTTTAGAGTTAAGCGTATTTTAAATGGCGTTTTAAGTTTATTTTCATGAAAGTACACTCCGTTTCACTTGAATAAGAATATACTTTTTTCAGCTGTTTTTTTATATCTTTACTTGTAGTCATCGGAAGAACTTCGCGGTCGCTCCATGATGGATTTTGAAGAACGGTGACGAACAAAAGAAAATAACTTTCAAGCTTTGCTTTCAAAATCGTGTCTCCTCTATAGGGTCAGCAAGAATATATAAAGCGAATAATATTGTTAGAGTGCGATCACACAGAAAGCCGAGCGAAGAAAGGCGGAGCGAAGCGGACCCCCAGGCTGCAAAGATACCACAAAACTACCGTCAAAAACAAGCAGCAAAAATATTTACTAAATTTTATTCAAAAGATTTGTTGAAGAATTCGTTTTTATTTTAATATTTTGATATCTTGTTTGCAGCGGCGTCATGAAACTGAAAAATTAATTAGTAAATTCAAAATCAAAAAGTGCTTTGCTTTCAGCTCGAAAACGCTTCTAGAAAAGCTTGCTGTATGAACACTTTCATATAACTCCAACAATTCGAAAGCTTCACTCCGCTCGGAACGGCTTCGTTCGGCTCGGCTTCGCTTTCTTTGTGAACGTACCCTTACCCAGTAGATAGTTTCAGGAGTTAAAAGCCCTTCCGAAAGGCCTTCTTGAGAGTCAAGAGGCCTTCCACTCTACATTCATTTCTCCTTTCTTTTTTTTTATGGAGTGGCACAAATTGAAGGGCTTCTTCTTTCGCTACCCATGGAAGGCCTTCCAGAATAGCTTTTATAGGACGTACTTCAGAAGGCCTTTCGGAGCAATTCTTTTAAAGTTGCTTCTTTAATTTATAAATATCATGGGTCTTTGAAGTATTTGCTTAAGGTTTATATCAAGTATGTGTTATTGCAACTCAAAATGTTAATTGAAATTAATTTGTAATGCTAAATAATATAAATTTATTCTTCGCGTAAATTGTAAATGGATAAGCCCTTCTAAAAGGCAGCACTTTTTTCAGCCCTTCTTGGGTAGGCCTCTTAGAATGGCTTTAATTAAGAAGGCCTACCTAAATTATCTTCTGGGTAGTCAATTTTATTAAAAATGTATTATATTCTTGGCGTTAACCCAGATATGCCGACGAGCTTGTTAGTTTTTTTTTAAGTTATAATTACTATTCGAGTTCATCAAGCTAATAAGTATTTTCTCGTGTTGCATACAAACGAAATTTTAAAATTATTTGCTTATTTTTTAATACTTCTTTTCACAATCGACTATTTTTTTAAATGAGAAGAAACGAGGATCCCCCTGTGACTACTAGTAAAGATACATTTGAATATGCACGATTCTTAAAGAAAAATAGCGTGCCTATTCGAGTGAAGTGGGGCGTATACACGTGCATACATACAAACATATGTACAACATGTATATACACATATATATGTATATCGTCGTTTAAAGTACAAAACCGCGTAACTGACATTTGCTGCCAAAAATTGGATCTGCTCACACAAGCTCTTGGATCAATCCTTATCCATTCGCCCTGAAATATACTAGCCAGAAATGCGATTCCTTTATAAAAAATATGAGTGGTTTTACTCTCTAGAAAATAATTTATGCAACCTCACATAAGCGGTTTTGTACTTTAAACGACGATTTATGTATATACATATAAGTATGTATGTATAAAAATTATGCTTTCATTTATTAAATTAATTAAGTACATAATATGTACTATATTACAGTACTTATCATAACTTAAGGGCACTCTCATATGCACAAAATTTTACCATATATCGTAATATTTTTTAATTTAATTATGTCTTTATAAAAACAAAGTATATTCTTTAACAAGAACCGAAATTAACCCTTTGTTATGCATGTACCAAATTTTATCATAGTGTTCGCGGTGCATTCGCCCTGAAGGAAAGATTGGTCCAATTGCTCGAAAAATATAGTCGTAGGCATTAGTAGTTTTTTATCTAGACCAACCTGAAAACCAGGCCAGCGTGAACAACCACACTATATTTTTATAAAAAAAAAATTAAATTAAAAAATATTATGGTAAATGGTCAAATCTTGTCAATATGTCAGTGCCGTAAAGTTATGATAACCATTATACATGCATACGTATGTTTATATGTATTAAATATAGATATATGTTTATTTCGTTATTTTCTGATATATTTATGCCAACTCACACTACTGTTACAAAATATTGTGCATAAAAGCAGAAGAGATTCGTTTACGCTAGAACTATTTAGACTTAGAAATCTCTATAAGTAAAAAATAATAATTAAATAAACTCCTTTCAACAAATACTTACGCATTTCACTCGGACCAAAAGAACTAAGACCATTTTTGTTATTAAAATTGATTTTTATTTTCATGAATTGTTACTAATTTTTTATTCCATGAATTAATTCATATTTTATATTAATTTCTTTCACCTCATTCTTCTCTTATTCTTATTCTTATAACTTCACAACTTTTTATAATAAAAATTTAAATTAAAATAAAACATTTTCAGTCCATTTTCTTACATATTTTTCAGTCTTCCTGCTTTATCCACTTCAATTTGTTTAATTCTATTATTAATACATTTGTAATATTACAATTTTCATCGTTCGATCTTCAAGTCTACCCAAAATTTAAACATTTAACATTTACGAACACTACCAATTCTCGCTTTTTAGCAATTAAAATACAAGCAAAAAATTAATATGTTCGATTTGAGACTCCGCAGCAACATTTTGGGCCGTAAAGAGCGGGTTAATGCATTAGTGGATTACAGTTGCGCTGACAATTACAAAGTTCTCATTTCCATAGCAAGTTTATTCTGAAATAAAAAACAATTTGTAAGGCTTAAAAATAATTTGTATTTTTCGTAAAATATTTAGGCTAAACAAAAAAAAAATATTAAGAAAATATATCAGATGGTAGTGCATGTTAAGAAAAAATTCAGCATTTTTGCTCAGTTTTGGGTATGAAAACGTCATCATTTAAATTTTTGAAGAGAAAAGTACTCTTAGATGTTACAATTAATTAGTTTTTAATTTACCTTACTCCAACGGTAGAAAATCCTCCTCTGCCGATATTTATCTGTAAAATAAAAACCGAGTTGAAATATGTTTTACCGAAGTAAATATATATATGCAATAAATCTACATATCAATTTAGGAAAAAATTGTTCAGATGGTAGTGCATGTTGAGTAAAATTTCAGCATTTTTTGCTCAGTAGTGGGTATGAAATTGTCATCACGATATTATACTTATGTACATACACTCGTGGCCACACAAACCGTACACCTTTTTTTTAAACATTTTGTAAATTAATAAAAAAATGTTTATTATAGCTCAAGCCACAACAAAAACTAAGAGGCGTATTCTTGTTTTCGTTCCAATCGAAAATCATGCAATTTCCCTATCACTTAGTATACAAAAAATCCAAATTTTCGATTCGTACGAAAACAAGGATACACCCCTATATAAATTAAAGTTTCAAACTTTTTAATAAAAACGTTTAGGAAAATTTCGGGTATGCAATAAAGTGCCAGTTTGCAGTAGCTCAAAGTTCTGATTGATTTTTCACAATTTTTTTCCATACGATGTTGCACATTTCGGCCATATAAAAGCATTCGTTACATGACGAAAACTACACAAGACCGTCGGAAAAAATAATTTAAAAATCATCGAAAATTTTGAGTCACTTCAAAACTTGCATATTATTATACTAAAATTAAATGCGCTAGTAAACTGCATACCCGAAATTTTCTTCAAACTTTTATAAAAAAGTTTGAAATTTTGATGAAAATTTTAAATTACTCAAAATTTTGAACAAAGCTTGAAGCATTCATTTGCATAGTTTTTTTTGCAGTTTGAACTATATTTAAAAAAAGATATTAATTTACAAAATTTCTCGAAATTAAAAGAAAATTTGTGGTAAGGTTTTCGTGGCCACGAGTGTACATAAATTTCTGCAACGCCTATGCATACTCGTTAACTCGCGGACATTAAAAAAAGTTTAGGTAATTTATGTAGATATCAAATAAATCTGTAAAATTATTACTTTTTCTATTTTTAAAAGTCAAATTTGTAGATATTAGATAAAAGAATAAACTAATCCTTTTTTGTTGTCTGCGACCGACTGTCTGCTATCTAGTGTCTACTAAATACATACATATGTACATACATACCTACCTACCATGAACGAAATACACATTTTTGGTATTTTTGGTTCATGCCTACCTACCATATGCGTACACACAAACGCACTAGGCGGAAATAGTGAGGTTAGTAAAACGCTAATATGCCGGCGCTGAAATTTTTCCACGCCTCATTTGCTTAAGTATTTCGCTAATAACTAACTTTAGCTACCATAACAACTTTTATTAATAAATAAAAATCAGTATAACCTCATTATGCATTAAAAAATTTCATTTCCTACAGCCAAGCGTTTGCTCTGATAAATCGATAATTTTCTTTATTCACTTACCTTCAACTCGAAAGCTACATACATATGTATATTTTTTAGTAGCAACGTTGAATATCTTTTAATTAAGCCTCCTTTGGCTGCTATATATACATATGTATATGTAGTATGTTAAATAAATTATTCTGTTGTATTAAATCACATCTTACTATGAGATTATTTTAACTTGACTGCGAGCATCGATGCGCACCGGGCAAAGGTCGACTAATGAAAAGATCTAAGTAACCGGAAAAGAATATTGAGGCAGGCAAAATGGTGGAAGTACAACAAAAAATGTCACCATATTTATTGCATGTGGTGAATAAGTGCGTTAATTTGCTTGGCAAAATGCAACCATGCAAGTGGTAAAAAGAATAGTTAAATTAATTTGTATATGTCTCTAGGAAAAAATATATGAAAATAAAGTCAGGCAATAGAATTTTTATTATTTCGATATTCAAAATTTTGGTTTTTAAAATTTTTTCATCTAATAAAATTAAACTTACTTAAAGATTTGTACATAAATCTTAAGTGTTAAGGCATTCTAGTATTCACGGAGCAGCAGTTCATTATTTTAACATAAAATAAAATATTTGGGGATATTCTCACCTGTCTGGTTATCAGGTTGAGTGGTTATATTTTTAACTCGGTAAATAAAATACACTAGAAAATAAAAAATTTTAACCAGATAACCTGATAACCAGACAGGTGTAATATCAGATAAAGCTAATTACAGTTACTATGTATAAATTTCTAAATTTCGAGAATTTTCATGGAAGTTTTTTGTTAAAAATACGTATCCTCGTTTAAAGTACAAAACCGCGAATCGTCATTCTGCAAAACCGTGTAACTGGCATTAGCTGCCAAAAATTGGATTTGCTCATACCGTCGCTTGGGTAAAAGATTGTCGTATGTTAATTTCGGTAAGTTGTGGGAAATCGCGATTGAAGTTTGGAATACAATTTTTGAAAAACGCGAAGATTGATTTTCTCCAAAGTCTCTGAAAATGCTACGAGTTCACAAAACTCTTAAATAATATAATTTTTAAATTTTATTGTTAATTAGTTTTGAGTTTATGAAGGATTTTCTTTAGTTAAATTTTGTCGTAAGCGCCATTTGTCCACAATTTGCCAGCCACTTTGTATGAAATACGACAAAATGTGATCAAATTTCTACTAAATTAACGACACTTTTTACTCAATATCTCGGGAACTAAAGGAGCTATACAAAAATGGAGAACACCATTTCTAAGATATTGATTAGTTTAATATGACTGCATCACTAACTAAATTTTTACTAAATTATCGAAAAAATTGTAGTCAATATCTCGGAAACTAAACGAGATATCTAAAAACTGATAACACCAATCGAAAGACCTTATTTCAAAATATATAACTGCATCTAAAACTAAAAATCGTCAAAATGGCGCTTACGACAATCTTTTACCCAGGCGAAGATATGCATTATTTCGGTTTTTTTCGTATGCATTATTTCGGTCTTTTATATGCATTATTTCGTATGCACAGTTTCCATATGCACGATTTCAGGGAGTCCATGAAAATGTGTCTTAAAAAATATTTGTTGTTGCATTTCTTCCATTTAAGCCTTCCATAAAAACACATATGTAGTGACTCAAAGAAAAGAACATTTTATTTACAGTAAGGCTACTTTCAACTTCTGTGGTTCACTAATAAAAGAGACAGATGCTTTGCATTAATGTGTTTCAGAAGACAGCCTAATTTACCTATGTACATATGTACATTAGACTGCATCACTCTCCATACAAAAAAAAATCGGTACTGTTTTTCCACTGGAATTATAAAATTATTGTATTTTAAGACGTCCACCACAATATTTCGGAAAAAATATTAAGATTTAAGCGAGCTGGACCGATTTGAAAATACCTCCAAAAATTAAGTTTTTTATGAATAAAAATAGTTTCTTAAAGATTTTTTTTTTAAAAAATCCCCTCAAATGACAAAACGGTTTAAGCTTAAAAAATGTACATAAAAATATTAAATATAAATAAAAAATAAGTTTAAACGGAATCGTAATAATGAGATTTTGGATGCTGTTTTTTAACTTTTTTTTAAAGATTGGTATAAGAAATACTTAATTAACTGACCCCAAACTCTTCCGATTTAGAATTGTGAGGTATCATTGGAAAGGTATTTTCTCACCCTTTTATTTCTTTGCTAATAAGCTCATTCATAGGATTAAGGAGAACAGCATTCAAAGTTGAATTAAGATGTGTTGGTATTTGAAAAAAAAAAAATTGGGAAACGAATGACCTTTTTTGTGCACATAAATAAAAATAGTGGGAAAATACCGTTCTACCGAGATCGCATAAGTTTAAATCGGAATAGTTTTGTCCCAATTATTTGCGTTTTTCGTAAATCAATCTTTGAAAAAAGTAAAAAAAACAGCATCAAAAATCGAATTATTACGATTTCGTTGAAAATATTTTTAAATATTTGTATGCAGATTTTTTAAGCCTAATCTGTTTTGTTATCTGAGGGGACTTTTTTCAAAAAGTTCTTTAAGAAACTATTTTTATTCATAAAAAACTCCATTATTGGGGGTGTTTTCAAATCGGTCCAGCACGCTTAAATCTTAATATTTTTCCGAAATATTTTGGTGAACATCTTATAATATAATAAACTTTGTAATCACTGCGGAAAAACCGCAACTTTTTTTGGTGATGCAGTCTAATGTACATATTTAAAGTAAGTTAAAACCAATTGAAAACCAAAACTCCACAGTTTACCAGGATGTTTTTGTTTTACCTAATTTTTGCTTACCTGCACGAGCTCAGCAAATTTTATTTTCTTAAGTGTCTTCGACAGTTTGTACCAAATGCATACACACGAAGATAAACTGTTTTTTTTTTTGGTTTTTAATTAGACACGAAGCGCTCAACCACCTTACATTTTTTCAAATGTATGCAAGTTTATTGCAAAATGAAGATTCTTCCATCATTAACAATATCGAGAAAAGAATTTCAATTCCGATTCAGCCACTTACCAAGCGAATAAAAATAACTGATTCGCGGAGTTTCCATGACAGTCGGGTATTATTTATGTATACCTGGCCACGATAGCTGTGTTCTCCAAGAACTCTCGAGGAATTTCTATGCTGTTATAACAACAATCCCTAAATATAAAAACAAAATATTAAAATTTGCAACATTTATTTAACTCTATAAACGTTTCAACTTAAAGTAAGTGTGATCATTATATATTTTTAATTTTTTATTTTGAAAAGCTTAAATTTCTATTTAAAATATAATCGAACAAATTTCAAATTGTGATTGCGGGCCCCAGTTATGGTATGCAATAAGCTTACAACTAATGCCATACACTTTTTTTTATTAAAAACTCAATTTGTAGTTTTTACGTGCAAATGCATTTAACTCACGACAGAAAAGAAAATTGAGCACATCTAATTTTAGTTCGTTCTTTTCTTTGTGGAAATGGTAACTTTCTTCACGTGTTTAATATAAGCGGAATATTTCTTAACACAACTAGTATTTAATGTACGTAGCTTAGAAGAACCGAGAAACGCTTATTTTTTTTTTGTTTTAAAATTTTTCAAATAAAACATTTATATATGTATGTGCATGTACATTCGTAAAGATAGTATATAACTTAATAATTAATTTACAATATAATAAAATCTAAGAATTTATATAGAACGGTAAGATTTTTACAAATGCTGATTTATGCCGTTTTAAAATTTCTCGCGTTTCTTAAAATTACGTTTCGAAGCGCACCGATGTAATATATCCGATATGTGCGATTTATGCTCAAAAATTTTCATCATCTGATTTTGTGCTTCATGTATGCCATCGACTATTATTTTGCTACGCTGTATGTTACCCTGCGAAATGAAAGGATATATGTACATGAAAATTAATAATTATGAAAGTACTTTTCTACGATGTTTTACAAAAGAAAGAAATTATAAAAAGATAATAATAGAGACTTGTCCAAACAATTTGATATGGGTTTGAAAAGTTTTCTTTTATGAATTTGCTTCTTAGTTTTCTACATATTTTATATCAGACTAAACTTTTTACTTCACTTATTTGCATTACCTTAAGCAGTTCGTTAATGCGCTCAATTTCCGGATTCTTCTCATGCGTTTCCATTTGCTTCAACATATTGCTCAACTGATCGTACCCATTCGATTCATTCTCACACTGAAATGCATGAATGCAAGAGTTTCATATAACATCAGATAATGTAAACATTAAATTCCCTCTTACCAAATCCTCCATTTGTGAACTTAAATGATAGATTTTCCAACCATTAATTTTGCCCATTACATTGGACTGATTTGCCAAATCAATAACCGTTGGACGGCGTTCTTCACGCGGTTTCACATCTGAGTATCGTTGAAAGTGATTGTTGGCCGTCTTCCAATTTTGCTTGTATGTCTAAAATATTACAACGAAATTTTAGTTAATCAAATGTTTGTAAATTTTTTTTAATTTTTCACCCAAACTTACATTTAGCAAAGTGAAACTCTGCGGACGTCGCACAGCAAATTCCGTTGGTTTGGCGTTCTCCTTATTGCCTGCGGTAGGAGGCAAGTTATTATTTTTGTGATTGCTCGTAATATTATGTGCAGCATTGGTAATAATAGCATTTGCATTATTACCATCATATTGATGCGTTGCCGAACTGTCAGCAGCGCCAGGCGCCATGGAGCCTTGTACGGGAGCTAGCAGCATACCACCGTTGCCACTTGCGGCAGACAGCTCATAGTTGTTATTGCTATTGCCGGTATTGTTGCTGCTATTCATATGAGTGACAGCAACCCCAGTCGCTGTTGGTGGTGGGAGTGTGAGTGAACTTTGACTATGACTCGAAAGCTGACTATCGTTACTGTGTAACGAGAAGAATAGAAAGGAGAGAAAGAAAAAGAGAAGGCAAAATAATGAATATGTGAAGTGTA